AGAAATCTCATGGGATGGAAATAATTCTCAGTTTTTGACAAGTGCACTGACTGTTCSAAAGGTTAAGAAAGAGCTTTGCATATTAATACCTTGTTCAGTTCTTCAATTCTCCTAATGAGATATGGRTTGCTGGAAGAATTTTCAAAATAAACATAGTCTGCAAGGAAAAAAAAGAAAGTTGCTGAAATACCAAAAAATATGTAAAGACATATCATTATTAGTGCAAAAACTTTCCTCTAAACCTCTAATGTTCTCAAAGGGCTGAGATTTCTTTATGAATGTTAGGATAGTGACATATTTCTACACTGAGATTTAGCATAATTTATCCCTAAACTCTGGTTATAACTGCACTACTGCATTAACAACCATGCTGGGAAAAAAGTTAAATGCCTTGTGTTGAAATTTACATTGCAATTCAGTAATCCATACACTTCATAAATCTTGATACAGAAGGAGCAACTTCTCTCAATCGATTAGGGAAGTTTTAAGAACTGAGCACTTTAGTGCTCCTGTATTATGGAGATTAATATTTCTGGAAGAGATGCCACCTCACATTTATGATCATATGCTGTGGCAGTACAATTGCCTCAATGAGTAATGTACTTTTTATGATACTTGCTCTTGTCATCACTGTCCASTAAGATGCAAACTCTATTAAACAGCAATTGTCATGAGATTAGCAAGGAYCTTGCAGGACATAATCTCTTCCAGTATCATGAATACAAAAGTACTTTCATTGAGTATATGGAAGTTTACTTATATCCTGAAAGCTGCTCCCATGTAACATACAAAGTAACTGAGATGCAGTGCATTTCCTTCAATAGTTTTCTGAAAACTTTCTGAAAACATTTTGGTCAAATGAAAAAGTATCCATCAAATGGCRACCACACCTTAAATTTGATATTGGACTTCTATACAACGCACCTTGCAAACTTTATTTTTAAAAATTGGAGGAGAAACCATAATGATGCATAAAAGTCGTCTGGAATGCTTAGACCCTACAATGAACTGGAACTTCAGGTAGTTCTAAAGAAATAATATGATCTCTGGATATTGTTCATGTCTGCTTATTCCTAATCAAGATTGCTAATTAAGATTACAACGAAAWAAAAGAGAATTGATTATCCAAGAGGTTACCCCTACCCTCTACYTGCTCAGAGAAGGATTCCTTCCATGAGTAAAGGCTGATCGGACTACAATCTAAATGTGCTAATGAAGGAGCATGCAGATGGAAGATTTGTGGCTATAACAGCACATCCCAAAACGTTAGCAGAAAGGGATTCAAAATTTCCACGTATCTTCTCCTCTCAGCTCTGGCTGTTGAGAAGCAGGACAGAGCGATTTCTGAGCACCCAGTCCTGCACACCTAACTTGAGCGGTGCACCTGAGCCACTGCACCGGGCACACAGCCACATTCGTTCCCTCCGCGAAGGGGCGAAAGTTATCCGTGTCATTTTCGACAGGCTGGGGGTGGGAGGACAAACGCTTGCCGTGTTTTTCACCGCCTAAATGCCCCCTCCCCCCGCCCTTCGCCCYGTGCCAAGCAGTCACGTATCAGGGCGCTCCTCAGGGGTCACGGCGGTGAGCAGGGGAGCTGACAGAAATCCCCGGTTACACAGCCGGATTAATAATTTATCCCCAGCAGACCAAGGAAGGCGCGGAGAAACTCCGCGGTGGGAGTGAGGGAGGGAGGGCGCGGGGCCGAGGAAGGCGCGGAGGGAGGGAAGCGCCCCGCGGGG